GCCTTGTGTATTCTCAAACTGTGTTCCAATTCCCTGTACCCATTATGGTTTTTGAAGCATTGCCAGGAGTGATCCCTGAAAGTAGAACCAAAAATAAACCATGAGCACTGTCAGGTGTGGCCCAACAACCTCTCCCTCCCCCCCAAAAAAGAAAATAACAGCTGTTTTGAGAGAAATATAGGTATAAATGTAACTTTTTCAAAGCTTATTGTTTACCCCCTTTTTGCTGCTATTGGATTATTTGAAGGGAACTCTCTTCCTGAGTTTGTGGAATGTCAATTTTTTTTCTTTTTGGGTCACACCCAGCGATGCACAGGGGTTACTCCTGGCTCTGCACTCAGGAATTACTCCTGGCGGTGCTCGGGGGACCATGTGGGATGCTGGGAATCGAACCTGGGTCAGCTGCATGCAAGGCAAACACCCTACCCATTGTGCTATCGCTCCAGCCCCAGAATGTCAACTTTTGAATATAAATCCTTTGATTTTTTTTCTTTTGAGTTTTGAAGTTGCTTTTGCTCTTTGGGCCAGACCAATTCACTGTTGTAGTAGTTGTAACCCCAGATAGTTTCACATCATAAATTGAATCAAGTGCCCCAAATATTCAAAATTGAAACTCTCGTGACTATATTTTAGCTTGTTTGCTGACCTTTTTGGTCTGTAAATAACTCTCTTTTTGTTCTGTTTTGTTTTGTTTGGGGCAATCCCCACTGATGCTCATGGTTGACTCCTGGCCCTGCACTTAGGAATTACTCCTTGGCACGCTTGGGGAACTACATGGGGTGCTGGAATTGAACACATATTGGCTGTGTACAAGGCAAGCACCCTACTGTCTTTACTATCACTCTGGCCCCTGTGAATAATTCTTCTTTGAAAACTTTCCTGCATCAGACCTTTTTGCCAGGCTAATCCTTCGACCTAGAATCGGCCTTAATTCCTGGCAAAATTGATTTATCTGCTCAGATGTTGTTTCTTAGAAAGGTCATTTCTGAATACTCATTTCAAGTCCTTTCCCATGTCCATTTCCTTCAGAGCACTAACCACAATCTGTGATCTCCTTATTTCTTTGTCAGTCTTCTTCATTATGTAAACAACTTGGGGTTTGGGACCTTATCCGTGAATATCATATGCCCCCAGCATCCAACAGTGTCTACTACAGAACTTTTTGGACAAACTCATCTGGCAACAGCCACACCAGTGACTAGGATTGTGGCCCTATATAGTTCTCAGTAGGCAACAGTCTAAAGTCTTCTCAAGGTCTGTCTGACCTGTGTTTCAGGGACCCATACATCTCAGGATGCCTCTGGGGTCAGGAGGAGTCACAATAGCAACCCTAGACTGCTGGCTCTCCTCTGCCCCACCCCACCCCACCCCACTCAGTGATGTCACACAGGCCAGTGTTCTCTGATCCTTCTCATTCTGTGACTGTCCTGAAAACAGCTAAGTTTTCATGACCCACTATGGAGGGTAGGAGGAGGGAGGGTACACCTCCCACCCCACCAAAATTAGTTTAGGGACACTGTATATGTGCTCATAAGTACGGCTTCAGGAGAAAGTAAGTAGCAGAAGCTGTAATTTGGACTAAGCTAAGGAAAGAAGAAGAAAAAAATGGGGAAAAGAAGGGTAAAGGAATTAAAAAGACAACAGAAGAAAGGGAGAAGAGTGATAAGAAAAGGCAAAGAGAGAAGAGGAGGATACGCGAAGATGTTTTCTATGAGAAAAAAACATGGACCAGGTAGTGAAGGAGGAGATGGAGTCGCATTTATTTTCTGTTTGGATTTGTAACTTTTGGGGTAGTAACTGGTTTCTTTGTGAAAGGATGGAGGACCTCAGGTGACAGGGATTCTCAAGTATTCCCCCCAAGGGGTCACTGAAGTGACTGAGATTGATTTTGGGGGGCCCAGGTGAGGCTATCTCCAGGGAGGCTCCCTTGAATAGACTTACAAACATAGCTTGGGAACAAGGTCCGTGAATCTCTAAACCATGATTGTGGAATGAAAAGGGGGGAAGCATACTGCTGACCAGATTGTTTTCCTGTTAACCCCAAGCATCCCTATTAGGCAAATAGCATACAAAATTAGGACTTCAATGCCATGCTTTTAGAAAACCTTGCTCTTTTGTAACTAAAATGAAAACAAAACTCCAGAGTAGAGCAGAAGGGAATACCCCATAGAAAGTTCACAAACGTAATGGCCTGTACCAAAAGGAAGGAAAATGTTCGACCCTCTTTCTTCAAATGTCCTTTTCTACCTTCTAAATATTTGTGTTTTCCCCATGGGATGGACTGGAGCGATAGCCCAACAGGTAGGGTGTTTGCCTTGCCTACAGCCAACCTGAGTTCAATTCCTCCGCCTCGCACGGCAAAGCCTGGCAAGCTACCTGTGACAAAATTGATATGCCAAAAACAGTAACAAGAAGTCTCACAATTTGTTGTGAGATGTTACTGGTATCTGCTCAAGCAAATCAATGAACAATGGGAGGACAGTGCTACAGTGCCCCTTGGAATAATGTTTTGGAAGAATCTGGTTTGATATGTAGTGGACAAAATATTTAGTAAATAAGAGACAATTAAGACTTTTTATTTTGTTTTGTTTTGTTTTTGTTTTGGACTCACACCCAGTGATGCCCAGGGCTTCTGGCTGTGCTCAGGGATTACTCCTGGCAAGGATCAATTCCTGGTTGGCCACCTGTAAGGGAAACAACCTTCCCACTATACTCTTTCTCCAGCCCCTAGACATGATCTGTGTTTAAACTTTAAAATGTGAATCTTCAAATCTGGGAGTTTCCTAGTGCAAGCTGTGCTCAGAAATAAATAGAAACGTGTGCAGCTTCATCAGCACTGTGAAAACTCCTTAGATATTCTTTGTGCCCATAGTTTCTAATCTTCTGCCTTTGCTATTACAATCCAGATTCTCCTAAAAGTATAGAGCCAAGAACAAGGTGTGGAAGCCTAAAGAAAGTAGACAGGCAGAAAGACAGGCAAGACCACACTCTCTGGGTCTATTCTTGCCCTCTGTGGCCTAGGATGGGCCTTGTGAATCAGGAAATTTGCTATGTGAGGGAGCTCCAAATAGTGGTTGCCACATGGCTTTTTATTTCAGAATAGTTTTGAGTCCACTAGCATGCCAATCATGCTGTTACTTGTCTGAAGTATTAAGGATTCCCATAAGGCTGAGTTTCAAAGATCTTTGATCTAATTTCTTTTTTCTTTTTGGCAAGTGTGTATAAAGTAATTAGAAAATGTGCCCTCTGTTGATACAAGAACCAAGTGCATAGTGAATTTTATTTTTACTTTGTTCACCTGGAAACGATCCATCCTGTTCTTACTCTAAGAAATTCTAACTCCATAGACAATTGAGTTGTGATTTTTTTGATTCCTTGAAGAATCGCCTGCTAGCGATCATTTGGGAATACTCTTTGATCCAGTTTTTGGGACCCAGGCCTAAAAGCAAAGGGAAACAGACCCTTTCCTAAGTCTTGTTGGAAAAAAAAATGGATATCACTTTTACTTTTAAAATGTTACGAAGTGTCAGAAAAAAATAGGTTGGTTTTGATCTAAGAGTTCCGGTAACAAAGTAGCTTTAGGAGATACAAAGTAGCAGGATATAAGTTGCTACAATAAGTTTCAGATAAAACAGAGAGGCCTCAAGACAAATTTACCTTTTTATCAGACAGAACACAATTTAAGTAATATTTGCAGGTGTTTAAAAAGTTTCTGCCGCCTCCAATGAAATATTTGGGTTTCTTTCTTTTTTATATGCCAGAATATCTTTTCTAAACAGGGGAATTGTCTTTTAACCTGTGACTGAGAATGTGTTGTAGGTCAAATCCATGAATAGGTTAAGTTTCTGACAAGAGAGCAAAGACACCCCAGCCAATGGGAGCCCGTGCTGGTGATGTACTGTTCCCCGGTTCTGATTCATTGGACGCCGAGGGTTTGTCATTTTATCCCGGCGTCTGCAAACAGCGTGGGTCGAGTTTTCCGTAGTCTAGCTAGCTAAACTGGATTTTGACCGCCTGCACGTGCAGTTTCAATTAGAGTTAGCTGATCCCTAACTCTTAATAGAAGCAGCTGTTCTGTTTCTGATTATCCTCCAGTTTTTTTGGACAAAAATTTCTGCCTTCTTTTAACTTCACTGGAGGTCAGTGGAGGTCCCCAGTGACAGAATCACGTGACTCTAACACGTCCAAATAAATACAATGTAGAATTCCTTGAGTTCCTGTCTTGAAAGCCTGGTAGAAACCCAAAAGCTCGAGCCCTGCTCGTGTCTAAGTTGAACTCGTGTGTGGGTGGGTGGTGTAGAGAGTTGCTGACCCTTGGGGCATGAGATGTGTAGCTGGGGCTTCTGCGTGGGCCTCACGGTCACTTCTGGAGGATGAGGGGATGGCGGGGGGGGGGGGGGGGGGAGAATCTAGCATCTTGAGGATCCACTGAGCTTTGAACCCTAGCAGCCAGGCCGCGATAGAGCTAGGGCTGGCCTGACAGAGGTCAGACATTCGGGATGGTCCTTTGGGTTCTGTGCTGTGTCTCCGCAGAAGAGTGTGCACATAGGTGGAAGTGTCAGGGAGGAGGCCTGAGGGGCGGGGAGCTTCTGCCTTTTCGGCGGACTGTAGCTCTCCGAGGGGCCTTCAATTTTCAGGGCTCCTAACAGTCGAACATTTGGTCTAGACGCCGGCGCCGGGGACAGCAGACCCGGGTCTGGTTCCGAGCCGGCATTTGGATGTTCCCTTTGGCCACGGTCTAGGGCCCTCCCCCCACCCCGTCCCCCATCCCCCGCCCCGGGCCGCGAGGCAACTGCGGCAAGAGTAGCAGGGCAGGGCAGTGACGTCATCCGCGGCCGCCCCTCCCCCGCCCTCCCACCCTCGCCGCAGTTCCTGTTCAGCGACATCCGGGTCTCTCCAGCTGCTTCTCGGCGCCGCAGCTGTAGCGGCGGCAGAGCCGGCCCGGCCGGGCGGGGCGGGGCGGGCCGCGCGGCGGGGGGAGGGGCGGCCGAGCGCCCTCGTGAGCGCGCCTGCGCGGGGCCGCGCTCGAGGCGGCGGTGGCGCTAGGGGCGGGAGCGCGCGCCGGGGAGCGAGGGAGCAAGTGGTCTCGGCGGCGGCCCGGCCCGCGGCTTTGGGTGGCTCGGGCGGCTGGGGCGGGGGGGTGGGGGGGGCCGCCAGGCAGGTGGGGCGCGAAAGCGATGAATCTTCGGCTCTTCCTCCTCCTCCTCCGGGACCCGCTCTCCGCCTCCCGCTCCAACGCCCGGATGATCTGAGCCGCGAGGGCGCCGAGAGCCGGGGGCCCGGACGCAGCCCGGCTCCTCCCCTCCTCCGCCCCCTCCCCGACCTGACCGGGTCGGCCGCCGCGGTGCTGACCCCCCACCCCCCCCTTCCCGCCCCTTCCCCGGCCGCCGTCGCCTCCGCTGCCTCGGCCGACCAGGGACCTGCCAGCCCGCGGCTGCTCCGGGTAAGCGCGACGCTCGGGCCGGGGCGGGCGGGCGGGCGGGCGCGGGCCTGCGCGGCGGCGGCGTCGGCGGCGGCGGCGGCCTGGCCTGGGGCCTGGGGCCTGTAAACAAGCCGGGCGTCTGCCCGGGCGCTCCCGGGAGGAGACGCGACAACTCCACCCCCTTGGCCCGGCCTCCTCCCCGGAGCCGGGCGGCGGGCGGCGAGGGGTTAACGCGCCGCGAGGGCGGCGGGGGCGGGGTGTCGGTGGCCGCGACGCGGGGAGGGGGCGCGACCCTCGGCGCCCCGGCGGCGTCCGGGCGGGGTGTCGGTGGCGGCGGCGACGCGGCCGAAGGCCTGGCGGGGCCCGAAAGGGCCCGGCGGAACTTTTCCCCGGCGGGGAGGGGGCGTCGCGGAGGCCCGTTTGCCCTCCCCACCACCACCACCACCCGCCGGGCCGCGCCGCCTGGGCCGCCGCGGGCTCCGACCTCTGAAGGAGGAGGAGCCCCCTGGGGTGGGGGGGTGGGGGGGGAGAGGCCGCCTGCGAAACGAGCTTCGCCTCCAAAGCACCCCCCCCCCACACACACACCTCAATTCTTAGAGAATCTGCCTCGGGTGTTGGGGGTGTGGGCGGCTGGGGTGTGGGGGTGCAGCGCTGAGAGGCGCCTGGGAAACTCAGGACGCGAAGCCTCCAGTTCATTCATTAATTAAGGCACGGAAGAAGGAGCCTCGAAGTAAATTACACGGATTTCTTCTCGTCTTTTGAACCGAGCCAGTGGTTTGGGGTGAAAGTTCTCAATGTTGAGTTGGACTGAGGTCTGAATGTGTTCTGGTAGGGGTGTGTGTGTGTGTGCGCGTGCGCGCGCGTGTGTGTGTGTGCGTGTGCGCTCGTTGTTAGAGTTAGACTGAGGTCTGAATGTGTTCTAGAAGGGGTGTGTGTGTGTGTGTTCTTGATGTTAGAGTTGGACTGAATGTGTTCTGGTAGGGGTGTGTGTGTGTGTGCGCGTGTGCGCGCTCGTTGTTAGAGTTGGACTGAGGTCTGAATGTGTTCTGGTAGGGGTGTGTGTGTGTGTGTGTGTTCTCGATGTTAGAGTTGGACTGAATGTGTACTGGTAGGGATGTGTGTGTGTGTGTGTGTGTGCTCGTTGTTAGAGTTGGACTGAGGTCTGAATGTGTTCTGGTAGGGGTGTGTGTGTGTGTGTGTGTGTGTGTGTGTGTGTGTTTTAAAGACAGCCTTCTACCTACCGCAGTTTTAGATACCTGGTGAAGATTAAATCCCCCAAGGTAGTTTCCCCTTCTCTTTCCTAAAGCCCTGCAGCATGAGACTTAAAAATACAAAAAGGTCACACTGGAGTCGTCCGGCTCAGAAATATTTGCCGGCTGCCACCCCCCCCCCACCCCCCTTGCCGAGTTTTCTGCTCATTGGAATAATGAGTCGAATGTGTTCTAAAAAAGTCTTTGGAAGGGTATGGGGGGGGGGGGGTGTTGAAATCTTTAGAAGATAAGTATTTTGCTCCCCAGGGTCAATAATTTTGACCCTGAAAGAAAATTAGAAATGCAAAAAATAATTTCTGAAGGAAAGGACCTAAGTAGCACTTTGGGATTTTAAACAGGAACTACCCCCCTCCCCCAACATGCAAAGAATTCTGGTGTCAAAAGATTTACTTAAAAATAATAATACTGAGCCTGAGGCTTTCCAGAATTTGTTGGAGTCTAGCAGAGCTGTAGAGCTATCCCCTCCCCATTTAAAATGGAACAATTTCACTTTCATGCATTTATCGTGAAGACTTTCCCAAAAAATATCCTTCTGTAGCTCTTAATGGAGTAGAAAACTGACTAGGAAGACACCCCATATCACCCTCTTCTAGTCGTCAATGTTAACTTTTATTGATGAAGTGGTTCCTTGGCCAATAAATAATTTCAAGTACAGAGTAACGTTCCTTGCCTGATTTATAATTCTTACGCATAACTCACATATATCTAATTAAACATTCAGTCCTGTAGGGATGATTGCTTTTAACTTGCAAATTGAAACTAATGAACTGTAGCTCAAAGTTGCTTATGCTTGATATTTTTCATTTTAAATCATTAAACCTTTTTCAGATCAGCGAAGTAATTATGGAAGAGGTATATTAATTCTGGTAGAGTTTTTGCTAGCATCCTCAAGTATATATGTGAGAAATAAAGTTGAATGCCGTATTCGTCACAATTTATTTTTACACGCACATAGTGCATCCATATACATAATAAACAATGAAGGTAACATTATATTTTGGTTTCAAGGACTGAAATGATGACTGTAATCACAGAATAACCTGTTGAGAACATTGCTCTAAGAGACAAGAATTGTTTAGTCATGGCTCTACTCCAAAATACCTGTGATCAAAAACTAGTCTTTGAACCCGAGTTTCACTTTACAAATCAGTAAAGCCAAAAGAGTAGATCACATTCTCAAATTACTGTCCTGTTGTGTTTTTTCGAGTCACTTTTACTATCTATTCAGTGTGCTCTGACTAAATGCCCTGTACATGCTAGAATACTTGTTTCATTATTCTGTAATTTATTTTTCTAAATTGATAACTACAAATATTTCTATCAGTAGATTAGTATTTTCTTCTTTTGTTTGTTTTTGGGGCCACCTTTACAGTGCTCAGGGTTTACTCTTCTCACTTTGTGTTCAGGACTTACTCTTGTCTCTGTGCTCAGGGCTCACTCCTTGCAGTGCTGGGGGATCTAACCACAGTCTAGCATCCTAACCTCTAAACTCTCACTATGGTCTTTTCTTTTGAGTTTGGGAAATCTAGGCAAACTCTTGGGAGGAAGAAGGATGGAGATTCCACCGGAGACAGAGTGATTGAGACTACAGGTTTGAACAAGCTCACGACCCTTGGTAGTTTGTGAAAGGCATTATATGAACATATTATGAAAGTTTTTCTGTTCAAGCTGGGTCTTGCTTGTGAAAGGCATTATACGAATATATTAGGAACTTTTTTTTTCTTGTCATTTCAAGCTGGGTCTTGTTTATCTTAATAAATGTTCATTTGAAAATCAGTTCCCTAATATCTTTATAAAGAATATATATAGCAACGTGTCGTCACATGGTAAATATTGCTGTACTTAGCCAAAATTCTATGCTTTGAATTGTCCACCTAGACTATTTATTAAAATGGCTAATAGAATGTGTAGCCGATTTAACTATGAATTCTTATTTAATCGTTTAAGGCTAAAGACTGACATGCCCACAGGGAGCTTGTTATTCCTGAAATATTTCCCCTTGAGAACTGGATTAATTTCTTAAGGTGTAAGTCTGTGATGATGTAGAAATAATTACATGGTGATATTTTGATGATCCCTTCAAATGTTTATCTAACTCTTAACTGGGTACCTGATTCTGAGTGGTACTCTTGATTACTTTTCATCCTTAATCAAATCAGAGAAAGCAGGCAGTTCTGTTAGAAAATTGGCTCAAGTAAAGTTCTGGGCTGGGGAGATAGCACAAAGGTGAGATGGAATGCATGTTTTACCTGCAGGAGCCCTGAATTGGATCCCTGCTGCATCTCACTCATGGTCTCCTGAGCATTTTCAGGAGACATCCCCAGCACCAAGCTGGAGCAGCCCCTGCATACAGCCAATTGTGCACCTTCCTCCCAAGTTGAATAATAAGCAAGTTGTGACCCTCTGAAATATATGGATCTTAGAGGGGTGTGGGGGTGATATTGTGAGGCAACTAAGGCAAAGTTTCTATCTTAAACCTTGGGTGGTAACTTCAGGCCAGAATATGTTGTCTTCTCAAAAAATCATGCCAAAATTTCGTTTTTGTTTTGGGCCCACACTTTGCGATACTCAAGGACAACTTGCAGTTGATGCCAGGGCATCGGTCTGAGGGTCAGTCCTAAGTGCTCAGGAGATTAAGGGGAGGGGATCATGTGGTTTTGGGGGCTTGAACCAGGGCTTCCTGCATACAAAACATTCCCTGAACCTGTTGAGCTATCTCACTGGTCTCTTGACAATTTTTTAATTTAACAGCGTTTATTATTAGAATTTAGGGTGTGTAAATTCTAAGAAGCTTTACTTAACTGGTATCAGAATTAAAAAGGTTGAATTATATATTCTTATTTTACTCTGCTTTCTAATGTTTCCCATTGCACAATTAAAGTGACAGTTTTATTATGAGTCTTCAGAAAATGTTGATTTTGACTCTTACATATCCTAACTATAGATATATACTGCCCAGATAATCTCTTTATCTTGCTTTTTTTCACCTGTGTTAGGTAGGTAGAAGCAAAATAATATAAAGATTAAGAAAGGTGAGCTTTTATATGGCTTTATGTAACAGGCCAAGGCTTTAAAATTTTTATATGAAACTGAGGGGAAGGGGAAGGATATTAATATATTAGACTATTGATGACTCCAGATTCTGTCTTCTGCACCACATATGATCCTCTGAGCCTACCAGGAGTGATCCCTGAGCACTGCCGGTGGTGACCCCAAAATCAAAAATAAATATAACCTAAAGGGACAGTATTACTCCGGACAAGAAGCTGAATAATAAAAGTCATAGTGTATCAACTTTTAATTTATCCACAACCCTCAAAATTATATGTTGATTGCTGGAGGTAGCTTAGAGAGCTGAAGTACATGTTTTGAGTGCAGAAGTCCTTGTTCAGTCACCAGGAGGACCTCATGTTCCCCAAGCAGGGGGAGCCTCTGAGTACTGCTGGGTGTGACCTAAAAACTAAAATAAAAAACTTGACTCTCTTCCACAAATAAAATAGTCTCAAAGAATCTTATCAAAGAATTTTATTATGCCAAGATCATAAATTTGCATACAAAACTATTACTGTTGTTATTGTTGATTTTGTTTGAGTTTTGGGGCCATACCTGGTGGTCCTTGGAGGCTGTTTCTGCTCGCCCCTCAGGGGACCATGTGGTACCAGGAATTGGTTCCAGGTCTCCAACATACAATGCCTATTGTGTTGTCTTTCTGACCCTCAACATTATTTTAAAAATATTCCTAATTGGACT